TTCTGCCTTTCTCCAGATCCGGTATTACATTTTTTTTATTCATCTTTTTCCTCCTGCTAATTCTTGAGGTATAATATTTTCATTTTCCCCTTTTTATGATATTTTTCTTCTTTGTCTTCGTCTTTTTCTTCTTCTTCTTTTCTTCTTCATCACCTCCTTTTTCTTTATTTAGATCCATACCTGTTCTACTATCACAAGTTTAGAAATATCTCTATTTCCAGTTATAAATGTATTTGATTGGAGTCTTGTTTAGTGACAGTGACATTTGAATAGTATAAAAATTAGTGTAATGTTTCCTGTTTGTAGTTCTGTTCGATACTCGTTTATTTCCATTATTCAGTTTCATAGTAATCAACTGGACTTTTATTTTAGTTTTTTAGTAATGTATTACTTACTGTTATAATAATTTTTGGTATATGTAAGAGGTTCTATCAATGGGGGATCTAATTTGTTTGCATATTTAAATTCAAATCTAGTTTATTTATAAAGCACCAACCAAAGTGCTGTAAAGTCAAGAACAGATACCAAAAAAATATACAACATAGTTGCACAAAGACACAATTTTTACAGTTAGATCAACATTTGTAGTCAAATGCAATATTTAAACACTTTAAGCGAGTCAGCCTGTTTTACTCTAAAGAGAAGATGATTCCACTGTCTGAGACCAATGACACAAAGAGCCCTGTCCCTTCTAATTTTTATTTTGGTCTGGGGATCTATCAGTCTGGGGATCTATCAGCCTCTCTAAGAGTTTGTGAAGGTGCATGTGACATCAGCAGGTCAGACAGATAGTGTGGGACAAGGCCATTTAAAAACCAATAAAAGAATTTCAAAACCAATTTGATAACGGACTGGGTTCCAATGAAGAGTAGATAAAAATATGGTCATGCTTCCGGGGAAAGGCTGCAACATTCTGAATCAGCTGCAGACGTGTAATCAGAGACTGGCTGATGCCCGCATAAAGGGTGTTGCAGTAGTCTAGCCTAGTTGTCATAAAGGCATGAATCTGAATTTCAAAGAGGTGCCTTAATAGAGAATATTTTATCTTGGCTAGTTTCCTACAATGAAAGAAACTAGCCTTCACCACAGCACATAATTGTTTATCATCTTTAAAGTTTCACCCCAGGTTTAGAAACTGTGGGCTCAACAAAAGGTCCTAAGTTTAGACAGCTACTACTTACGTTACTACTAGGCCCAATTTGCATTACTTCTATTTGTTCTCATTGCATTGCAGGAAGTTTGCAGCCATCCAGTATTTACATTCTGTTAGGCACTCCAATTGTTTAGCTACTAAGAAGTTATTCTCACAGCTAAGGGGCATATAGATTCGGCTGTCATCAGTAGAGGTGAAAAGCCCTGAAAATTTGAACAATGAACCGAAGTGGAAGCAGGTACAGGGAGAATAAGAGTGGCCCAAAGAAAGACTCTTGTGGGATACCACATGACATGGGAGCTGTGTAGAGCATTAAATGTATTTGATATTGAGCCTTCTAGAGTCCTGGAACCCCCCAAGGTGCTTTACAACAGCATCAGTCATTCACCCATTCACACACACATTCACACGCTGGTAGGGATGAGCTATGATGTAGCCACAGCTGCCCTGAGACACACTGACAGATGCGAGGCATCCGAGCACTGGCGCCCCCGGTCCCTCTGACCACCACCAGCAGGCAAGGAGGGTTAAGTGTCTCGCCCAAAGACACAATGACAGCGACAAACTGAGTGGGGCTCGAACCTGCAACCTTCCGATTGCGGGGCGAGCACTTAACTCCTGTGCCACCGTCACTCAGCAAAGGTAGCGGAGGTTCTTTTTCTTCTGGGTGGATCATCTGAACCATCGGTCCGCATGACTGTCAGTCATTCTGGGTAAGCTTTCCCACCAGGCTGTCATCACACATGCTCATTCCTGGGTTAGATTACAAAGACTCTAGTAGGGGGCTGCAATAACTCAGTAGGTAGAGCGGGTTGTCCAGTAATCGGAAGGTTGCAGGTTCGATCCCAGCTCCCGGCAGTTAATTCTACTGTTGTTTGCTTTGGGTAAACACTAAAACCTCCCCACCCTCCCTAGGAGGAGGGACCATGGAGGGTGGGCTCAAATAATGAGGGTGCCCCCCCCCCCCCCCCCCCCCCCCCACACACACACACACATCTTGATTTTCCATGAAGAGGACAACAGTTGGCCAGGCATGATCATGAAGAACTTCTGTTTACTCACAGAAAATGTTAACATATTTAAGAAGAAGATGACGACTGAACATACAAAGGTGTAGTGGGGTAACTCTACCTACATTTTCCTTTTCAAACTTTCAACCTTTGTTTTCTTGTTTTTCATTGGACTATTTTTCCTGTCCCGTCCACCTTTTATCTTCCTGCATCTCTTCTCCATTCTCCAGAAAAAACTGCTGCTTTGCTTCTTACTTTTCATCTCAGGAGTTACTTTTGGACTAAGCAGATCAAAGGGACCTACCGACCGCAAAAATAGCAGAGTATTCCCTAACCAGCAGCATCAGTGAGGTGAAGTCATGGGCGACGAGCTCTGCTGCAGTAGTGGAGCGCGTCAGGCGTGTATATAAAAAACACATAAATTAAAAATGGGCCTGAACTATCAAGCTAACTGTAAATTTTTGTTGGCGGCACTCTGATTATGTGCCGTGCGCAGGATGCAGTTGCCTGGAGCGCATCAACAATCAGTGTTCTGCCTCTCTCCGTGCTCTCCGCTCAAAAGAATCTGCGGTGCACTGTGAGTCCATATGAATAATGTAATATAGGTAGAAACTGGATCTTTTTTTCAGGCTACTCCTGGGTGTGTAAGGTGAGGGCCTCCAGTACCCTCATTATTCGAACCCTGCTCCTGGAAGAAGCCAGACATTTTCATTAATATAAGAAGCCCCACCCCCCGCCCCACCCACCACCCCCCGGACAGAGAGTGAAAAGTATTTATGTCCGGGGAAAAGAGGATGTTTGGTCACCCTATGCTATCCTAACAGCACATAGCTGTGTGTAGCTAGCCAGCTAGCAAAACAACTAAAATAAGCACCACATCTTCACCCAAGGCTTGCTTTTAGCGAAATAAATGTTTTATCAATGTAACTTCAATATACAGGAACAGAAAATATACATTACTGACAAATACACACATCTTAGTGTCAAGCTAAGCAATTAGCCTAGCTTAGCATGTGTATGCTCACACTGCTTACATTTAATCAACAAAGTAACTTTAACCCATGCCCAAACATGAGCACATCGATAATTACAATAAGTGTTGTCCAAGGTATGAACGTGTGAAGCAAGATTATTGTGATCATGAACCGTTTAACGTCCTATTTGTGCCCAAATGTAAACACCGGAGCAGAAGAGAAACTATGTCAGTCATTGTTCTGAGTTGACAATGCTCACTCTGTCGTGTTTTGGATAGACAAAATAACAAAAATTGTTTGTAAAAGTGATGTCTCACTTTGATCCATTTTCCAAACCTACAACATTTTACCCTTTTATCATTAATTCACCTGTACTATTTTATTAACTTATTAATAAAACTTTTTCCCATCATGAACTTAATATCTATCTGAGGCCTAAAGGCATGACAGAGCATTAGTCAGGCTTATCTCAGGTAGAATGTCATTCAGCTGCTGTTGGAGACAAATGAAACATCACATTTTTTCTATTACTAACTTAAATTGAAGTAGTTGCAATTTTGCATGATATTTAAAGCTTAAGCATTAATGATAGGAGATATATGTCGTTAGCAACCTAAATTATAGATTTATTCATTTATATTATTATTTCTGTTTTTCATTAGGGGGCCCCGCATAAATCAATGTCGGTTAATATCAGTATTGGAAATAGAGTTAGACAATACTGGAAACTGGATATTGGTAAGAAGCCAATATCGAGCATCCCTACTTATTAAAATCGAACCTTTGCACACTACAGGTGAGCTCTCGACGGTATCAGACTGAGCAACATTAAGAGCAGCAGTCACCATGTTAAAGAGAACTCGAGGATTGTTCTTATTTGATGAAACCATTTTAGCAAAATATGCAGTCTGGGCAGTTTTGATACATTTGTGATAATGCTGCATTTTGTCTCTTAACATTTAATAAAAATTAGTAAAACAATAGTTACTAATTGGTTACTTTTATAATATAATGTACTAAGTTGCCCAACACTGAACTCAGTTGACCTGAACAGTGCAGACTGCTGACGTGGAAGAGAACAGCTATTCTAGATTAAAAAATCCAATAAATGTAAATGTTAACTAAACGTACGAGCACCGATAATCATCCTGACTATGGTTTACATTGGTGATCATAGGATGAACTTTACCCTGAAGCACTGCCTGATGGCATGTGATGACACATGATCAATGATACATGGATATTTAGGAGTTTTTTTTACTTGTGAATTCACTCATAGTTTCATTCTCCTTTAAAAACTGATTTCTACTCATATTTGAATTCTCCAAGTCGTCAGTAATGTTATTAGTTTTTTACCTACAAGCTTTCATTGCTGGTAATAAAACTGTGTGTAGTTTGTAGACTACATTCATTTATACAGCTACAAAAACAACACAATCAGGTGAATGTTTAAAACCAATCTAAAGTCTTGCTGAAATGCACAACAATCCTCTAAAGACAAACCCAACACCTCCAAATGACTTGTTTAAGCTGCTGGGCTGTTGCAACAATCCTCAAGCACGAGGACCAGATTACATGTTTTTATGTAAATCTGGTTTTCTGAACGTGTCAGTGCTGTATGACTCTGTTTTTAATACTTATACAACAGCAGAAGCTGTTTACTTTTGTATACTATGAGAATGACTTATGCTCTTTCTGTCATTGACTGTTCCGTGTATGAAAGTGAAATTTAGTGTATTTTAACAAACCTTGTTTTAGCCACTTGTTTTAACTGAAATGCCTCTTTTTTCCATCTGTTGTTGCCAAGCATGCTATTTTGAATTTCTCTGTGCGTCTTTATGTCTCTTCCTGCTTTGATAACAGGGGCCCATGCCAAAAAACACGGCGAGGATTTATCGGAGAATGACGGTGATGAAGATGAAGGTATTTTCCACGGTGAACAAAGATGGTGCATGATTTATTTTGAAAAGCAAACATCACTGTCTCATAATCTTTTATGGACCTTTTTCTTTCGTTTCTAATTGCAAATGCAATCATCAAACACCCATGTCTCATCACAATCTGTGGAGCAGCATTTTCCATGTGAGTGAATGTGATTGCTCTTGCTCCTGAGGACTTAGTTCAGCGGATGAAGAGAGTTTTTGACTTGAAGGTGAGATAAGATCAGATAATTACTGAGATAAGCAAACACAAGGTTGATTCAAGTTAAGATCTAGAGCAGGTGTCATTAAAAAGGCAGGGGCCGTGAACACAAGCATATGTTTTAAGCTTGTGTCTGTGGCTGTAATAGCAGAGAGAAAAAGAGGAGCAGCAGTGTAATATCACCGGTTCTGCCTGCACATTCAGATGAGGATCGGCAGTTCAGGAGCGATGCTGAAGAGGATTAGAGATGAGAGGTGTAGAAAATGGGAAGTTGCAGCTCAAGCAATCGCATTGTTCGCTTCCATATTTATCTTGGGATATTCCTGGCTCAGGGTGGATCTTTGCTGAGATTAGAATGAGAGACGGTTCTTGTGCTGCTACAGAAACAGCTTAAGTCTCTGAATCTAAATCAAACTCCTGATGTGGCTCCGCCCCTGTCTTCCTTTGCCACAGTAGGGCAGGTGATGAAAGCACAGTGTTCTGCATCAAGGTAAAGCTGCTGATTTCCACTCGGCTTCTTATCAACAGATTAGGTTTTCATGTACACAGTATTTAACTTTTGTTTGAAGCTGTTCCAGATTCTCACCTCATGTTTATGGCATTCACACTTTAATTAAAGCCCTTGTATTTCTTCGGCAAACACCTGTCACCCACTACATCCCTCTCAGTGTTTAACTAGATCAGCTCATCTTATGAAAAACATTTAATTACAGGCAGTTTGGTCAAAAGATGAAAATATCAGTTATGTGTTGTTAAATGTTCTCAGCTTTTATTTCACTAAACTTTAGCTCAACGTCTGTAAAACTGAAAAACTGTTTGTTGGAAGGAGTTCATTAGCCTTGATGGTCGTCTTAAATTAGTTGGACCCCAAAATTTGGATCCATGTGTGTATCCATGGGTGACTCTCTGAGATATTAATTAAAATAGGACTAATTATTTTTAATGACATTTACTCAGTGGGAAATTGGCGAATATTTTATTAAAGACCATGCGTGAGTGGTTTAAACTGTGGCTACCACCTGAACAAATGGTTGCTCAGCAGCTGTAAAGTGGATTGAGCTATAGCCAGTTGTGTTGGCCGATGTTGATTAGATGCGTTGCTCAAGTTGAATTGGTTTGCATTCGAAAGATTATCAACTGTAGATGATCACCCGGTGACTTATTTTGCTAAAAATGAGAAAATCCAGCGGTTTATGAAACGTTTTGCTTACAAATACACAGACAGGCAAAACATAACCACACGCTGCCAAAAGAAAAAGGGTGGGTGTTGGTTAAAAAGAGACATAACCGAGTCACAGTAAAATATGAAATACTTACACTTGACTTGAAATGTTTCCTAATGAGTATGCTGTTGGCTATGTGTCGGTTTCTACTCTGCCAAATTTCAGCATCACCGGAACAAGAACCTTAAGAATACTAGAAATCCTAGCGGTCCTCTTCAGATTTTACTGAGGGTTTTTTGGGGAGTACCTTTCTCCTTTCCATTGTGCTCTTGTCTCAGAAAGAAGCCTCACGTTGGTCTTGATCACGGAACAGGAAGCGTTGCTATGGCACCACTTTGACACGCAGGTGCTTCCTCATTCATGCCCAGGGCGAGCTGCTGCAACCGCGGCCCGACTGTCTTGATTTTCTGACCTGACTGTATGTTTACACACATGATCCTGCAGGTCTGCCCTGCTTTCAAGCCAGCTTCTCCTTTCCAGTGTGAAGCCCCTTCGGCCTGTTTAAAAACTGCTGACGATCCCTTTGTCTGGCACACCTTCACATGCACTCGCACCCGCTCCTTCTCCAAGCTGTTATGCTAGTTTTGCCTCGCTGAAATCATGACAAGTCTTTTCTTTACTGAGCGCATCTAATGCCATTTGCAGAGCATCACCTAAGACTAACAGCACAGTCCCAGCAGCATCCTCGCCTCAGCACTGTAACTAATGCCTGTATGACAGAATTGGCCATCAGCTCCTAAATACGATCCAGAAGATTTTTATTGTTCCAGTGATTATCTTGAACTATTACAGGTTTGATACCCCTTATTTACCCAGTTTACCCCTAATAGTTAGATGTAGAAAAATAGAAAGATGCTACATGGTCTCCCAACCAGCTTTTACTATCATTGCAGATAATAGCAACCTCCTTTTGCTGTAGTAATCTTACAGCATGCATAAGCAATGTGAAGTAAGACATTTGCATTCATGATATAGGACAAATATATTCAGATCACAAGCAGAACTCCCACCCTCGCCCTCGTGCCAATGCACCTCTCATCCACATATACTCATTTATATGAGAGAGCCACTATCTCGTCTGGTTTCTGCGTGTAACCCCCTCCATCTCTCAGTCTGTTCATCCCAGCATGTTTTCTCACTTGGCAGTCTGTCTATCTAGGGCTAATTTGCTCCCTTCATGGAATATATTGGAAGTGCCCCACTCCTCGTTACAACCATCCAGACACGCTCTTAAATTCTAATCCTAATAATAAATATTGGAACAATAAAGGATTTTTTTTATTGCTAGAACAGTGAAGCATATGTAGCCACAGAGTGATATATACATTAAACATAAGTGCTGTGGAACAGCCAATAAACATTCAGCAGACAAATGGAATTAAACATATACGGAGGGATCGAATAGCTTTTAATTATGAATGTTTTTTAAATGCTCCTGAGGGTGTTCTCCTTGCCGTTAATGCATGTAAGTGGTTATCTGCCTGTCGGAGTCCCTAGCACCTCAAAGTACATTCAGATTCTGCACTAAGCTCCCTCCAGCAACACGGGTGTGTGGACAAGTTGCAGTGATTTACAACAGCCCACAATCAAGACTCAATTTTACAGAGGCTGTTATTGCACTGTAAAAATGGAGTGCAACCTTTCAATCACCTACCTGCTGTTGTAAGATAAAGGTGGGTATGTAAATAGAGGAAGGGAGTCTGTGTGAGAGCTAAATCTCCGAAGTGAGACGTGGCAGTGGTAGCGTGGTGCTGTGCCCAGTGATGGGCAGCGAGAGGCTTCCACTCCAGCTCGAGAGGGTCTCACGGCACTGCCGCTGCCCGAGTTCCACTTCAATTGATAGAAAATAGATCCGTATGCCCGTCTGCCATTTGGCACTTTGAGATTTTAAGAAATGCAGTCATCTAGTGTGGTCACACACTTGTACAACATCCACAATGGTTACTGCCAGGCTTTGAAAACAAGAGAGAGAAAGAGAGGGGAAAAGAGAGACACCCCACCCTCAGAGACACTTCCTGTCATTGCAGTGCCAGAGAGCAGAGCTGAGATCCACCTGCCCGGGTATTATCATTAATTCCATTGCACAGTCCTGGCTGGATCCCCATCCAGCAAAGCCCTCAGCTAAGGCAGCCTGGAGAGTGGTAAATTGACAGTGGGGGCAATTTACACACCGTTCCCTCTGTTCTGCCACTGTTCTATTCTCTGTGATGTAGCAGGGAGGAGGAAGCGTGCCCCTTGCAGCCCATTTATTCAGAGATTTTTGGAATGCTGTGACTCTTCTTCTTTCCAAGATGAGCATTTCTGCTAATGGCTGATCCACATGGCATCATTTTAGCCATTTCAAAGGATGGCAGGAGCACACTCTCACTACCATCTACTGTTTTTGCCATCTTTCTTCTGTTGCCCTTTTGTATCTGAGTGGCACAAAATAACAGGGGAGACAATATTTAAAATACACTATTCTTGACAAGTAATAGAAATACAGCTGTGTCACTGGAGTAAACCCAATATATTTGATGTATTTTTATTGTCAAAAAAAAAATATATATATGTCAATATCCAATCCACTTTAACATCAGCAACACCTTAAAAGAATGCTTCTTCAACTTCATCAAAGATCTTTGTGCATTGAAAATACCAAGGAATTGATTGTTTTATTTGATGCATTGTTCAAACATTTCTGCAAGCAGCTCTTAAAGTGTGCAACACTTAAGATGTTGCATTTTCTCTTTAGTATTCTCCACACAGTCTCCTTTGGGGACAGGTCAGGACTGTAGATGTTTCAGTGCAATGTTTGGTCTGCAGCTACGGCTCTGTAATGTGTGCAGAACGAGATTTTACATTGCCTTGTTGTAAAATGCATGGACATCCCTGGAAAATATGTCACCTGAAGGCAGCATGTGTTGCCTTTAAATGTCAGTGTCGTTTTTTGCATTAATGGTGAGATCACAGGAGTGTAAACGACCTTTACCAAGGACACTGATACTAACCCCATACCGTCACAGTCCCTGGCTTTTGGATGTGATTCTGATAACTGTCTAGATGGTTCTGTTCATTTTAGTCAGCAGTATCCAGTTCTATCATTTCCTATAAACAGAATAATATTTGCCTGAATACAATTTTCTTATTCGTTTATTATTGTCATTTTACAACATGTTTGAGGCACACGAGGACAAGAAAAAGTTACTCAAATCAGCACGAAGAATAAATAACCCAAAGTTATTACCAGAATAATTGAATTGTGAGAAACTAAAGAAGTTGGTTTAAGTGCCACACTTCATGAGTCTCACAGCTTCAGGGAAGAAGCTGTTCTTCAGGATTGTTGTTCTATAAAGTTGAGTAGTTCAATGGCTGGCTGGGTGGGGTCTTTCATCAATCTCTTGGCTCTAGTTCTGCATCTGATGATTTTATGTCTTCTAGAAAATACAGTCAACTGTTTGATTGATGTCTGGTTCACATGGCAGGATTTTTAAATTGTTGGATGATTTTCAAAACATTAAAAACCACACATGGCGATAAAATACAATCACAGATATACGGAGATGGACAAAGTTGTTG